CGTTATCTAGCTTCATATTCTTAAAAAAGACCTGCATATGGCATTGAATATCTAGTGCTTAAGAAGTCTTGTTTTGTGCTTGATGGGTAGAACATGCTGCCTCACTTGGTGCTGTCTCCTGTATTTGTATGGCCAGTGTAGGCAACCAACTGGTAAATACGTGGCAATGAGGATGCACTCCCCTCTCATCGTGATGCAGACCTCATTGACTGATGCCCAGAATAAAGCGACTGACACGTACTCAAAAGGGCATCCCACACAAAGAAATAAAAATAAAATAATGATTACGAAGGATTTGTAAACTACACCTCATTCAACTCTGGAGAGAAGATAACTCCGTACACCAATAATCCAAACCTCAAGATTTGTTCGAGTGGCTTATTCATATGATATGTCGCAATGTGTCGAAAACATGTGGGAGTGGACACACCACATGCTTCCATTAATTAAAATGATAAGTAGATATACGGTGAGCGGACATCTATTAGTTTATGCCTTAAATTTATGGCTTGCAAATTGCATTTTATTTAGCTTTACTTTAACAGGATAACAGTGCAATCAGGCACATTTGATTAACAAGCTAAAATCAAAGATGGAAGCACTTAGTGAGTTACATAGAACAAACATTACTGTGGTTGATCATCACCAGCTCTCTGCTCTCCTCTTAACCCTCAGGCCATTCATTCTTCATGTGAAGGATGACGGAAAGCTTTGGCTCGACCACATGACCTTGAAGCACTTGAACTTGGAAGTTGTAGACCATGGCAGCCACCACTGCCTTCATCTGAGTGAAGGCCACTTCCTTTCCCAGGCAGGTCCTGCGGCCAGAACCGAACGACATGAACTTGCAAGATGGCTCGTGCCGCACCCGCCCCTCTTCCGAAATCCATCTCTCGGGCCGGAACTCCAAGCAGTCCATGCCCCAAATCCTTTCCATCCTCCCTCTGGAGTACAGGGAGGACAAGATCTTTGTGCCTGCTTCAACTCTGTGTCCACTCGGGAGGACTTCATGTCGCAGAGCTGCCTGGTGATGGAAGGGAAGGGGAGGGAACAGCCTGAGCGACTCGCAGAGGGCTGCATGCAGATAGACCAATTTGCTCAGCTCTTCTGGATCGAATATGGTCAGATCATTGGAGCTCGATCTCTGTTTTCCCAGGGGCGTCGACCTCAATTCCTCGAGGATATTGGACTCCACCACGGGATTGTTGCAGATCAGCCAGAAGAACCATATGAGCGCTGCACCAGTTGTGTCCCTCCCGGCAAAAATGAAGTTTATGGCTGTGTCACGGAGGAACTTGTCGAACTCGGTTGATCCTTGTCGATGGCTGTCTTGCTGCTCTTCATCGTCATCGTCGTTGATGTAAGACGAGAGTAGATTGGCTTTTTCTTTGCCTCCGCCATCTTTATGATTCTTGAGGCTTCTTAATTTCTTCTTCTCTGCGATGCTTTCCGCTATGCAACCGCTATGCAATGGTCTATTACCTTCCATGCCATCATGAACTTCTTCTCGTGCCCATCCTCAGCCATCTCGCCAACTTCCACCAGGTCGACGGCATCGTGTGCCAGAGCAACGAGGCGCTCGTGGCATCGTCCATTGCTCGCATGAATGGGACGGTCGACAATGCGATGGAGAGACAACATGGATATGTTAGGATCGAGTCGGCACTAGGGGGGGTGAATTAGTGCAGCGGATAAAAAGCGTCGGTTTAAAAAACTTCATACATTAAAACAAAAATCGATCTAGGGAGATAGCTTGAAAGCGCGTTTATTCGTAAGGGTAGTAAAAGCCAAGTAAGGAGGAAGTGAAGCAATTGCAGAGTAAGTAAATGACAATAATAGAAATGCAAACCAGAATTTATAGAGGTTCGGTTGTTGTGACATACATCCACCTCCGATTCCTCCTTCGTCAAGGTCACCAGTATCCATTAATGTTCTTCCTTCAATAGGCGAAGACCAACTACCTCTTTACAGCACTTTCTCCTTTTCACAGGTTTAGGAGATAATCTTTACGAGCCTCACACCTCTTTTGAATGATTACAAATCTAAGGAGAAGGAGGAGAAGAATTCTTCTCACTTTTACAATACTTTTAACACCCCCAACACTTCAAATTTTTCAACACTTCAATTGCACTTTAGTTACCCTTTCATGCAGAAAAGGGTGGGGTATTTATAGGCCCCAATAACCTTAGAATTAGAGCTAAAAAGTGTCACATCCTTGGATTTCGAGATATTGGCGATACCACCATCATTACTGGGCGGTACCATCGCCTGACACTCTGACACTGGGCGGTATGACCGCTTGACAGAGCTCGGAGATCGAGCTCTGACGGTACCACCACCTAACAGGGGCGATACCACCGCCTGGCAGCATTAACTGTCAACGGTACCACCGCCCAAACCACCTAGGAGACTGAGTCACCAGGCAGTGCCACAGTCGGCCTTGACTTCAAGTGCTAAATGGGCTGTTCAACTAACCCAATTCAACCCTATTAAGGGCCCAATTGGCCTCTAACTGAGTTAGTAGGATGACCTCCTAATCCTAACTCAACTTAGGGTCAAACTATGATAATTTAAGACATTAACTAAGTAGTCTTGGTCTAATATGTCAATTGTTCTTCCGACGAACTTCTGACAATCTCTCGTTAATGTTCCAACAGACTTTTGGCAAGCTCCTGGACTTTATGTTGATCTTCTTGGCGAGTTCTGATGAGCTTCTTTGGCAAGCTCCTGGACTTCTCGATCAATTCCGGCAGAACTTCCGATAAACGTTCGGACTTTCGACGAACTCTCGAACTCTTAACGAAATCTCGATCTTGACTCTGGCCCAACATCTGTTTTATGCCTTACTGCTATCATAGTTAATCCTACATACTTTTCTTAACATATAGATTAGATCAAATAATTTACTAATTGATTTCATCATCAAAATCTAAGATACAACAATCTCCCCCTTTTTAATGATGACAATCAATTGAAGACAGAGTTAACCTTAACTCCCCCTATCTATATGCCATACTTGAGAAAAGATACTCTTGAATTCAAGGTCTTTGAATTTGAGCATCAATCCGATAAGTTATATTCATTTAAACTTATCAACATACACATCATGATACTTATCATGATTTACCAATTCAAAATACGGTACCACGTATTTATAAAAAATGATGTCAAGACTTGACATCAATTTTTAAGTCCAATGATGATAGACAATCATTATTTTTAAGTATGATACGAATTTCAAATATGAAATTTAACAAGATAACAAAGATAACAATTCAATATTCCATGGTAAGACATCAATTGTAAATAGCAAGGTGAGCTAATGATATCTTATCATAATAAAAGACATTTATCAAGCATTCATGAAACATTTCAAATATCTATAATGCATATGAAATACATTTTGATATGTTTCAAGCATTTGCGATGTGTTGCAATGTATTTGATGATTCAAATTATATTTCAAGCATTTGCAAAACATACAAGCATTTATGATAAGATACAAGCATTTATGATAAGATACATTTTCAAACATTTACAATGCAAATTTGTCATCAATTTACCACATTTTGGTATCATTTCTCTCCCTTTGTCATCAACAAAAAGGAGAACCATTCAACAATGCAAGTGTGGTAAACAAAATTAATCAAGTTTCACACCAATTTATCCAAGCCATAAAGGAAGGTAAGCAAATAAGAAGAAGAAGAAGATTTATCAAGGTAAGCAAATAAGGTAAGCAAATAAGCCATAAATTTATCCAATTTATACAAGTTTCTTTCTTCTTTTTGTCATAAAAATAAAAATAAGAAGAAGAGGAAGAAAGATAAGGAAAGAATCCATTAAAAACCAAATACATGAAATGATTTGAATCAAGTCAAATTCAAAACAAGAAATGAGTTTTATTATGTTTCAATTTTAACAAAGAGAAGGGATTCATGAAAAGGATTAAGATATCCATGTGAAATCAAATCGTCATTCTTGCAAATAATTATCACACACTAAAATTCATCTTTCAATGGTAGAGTAAGGAAGAATTCATAGGAAGGGAGCATAATATGAAAAATAAATTTACGAATAAAACTTGATAAATCAAATCTGTTTCTCATTAGAAATTCATAAGAGTGAAATCCGTGAGAGATGCATTTGTCAATAAATTCCATGAGTGAAGTGATTAAGTATATAAAAAATCATTAAGTGATGGAGCAAGCGTATGAAGCAAATTTGATACCAAGTTAAGAGGAAGATAAAAATAAAATAAATTCATGAAAGCTCCATTCATGAGATGAATTAGGAGGAAGATAGTTCAGAAAAGAAATTCAACAAACTCATGCATTCAGGTAATTTAACATCCCTAACTCTCTTCTAATAAAATCAGATTGTTCTTTATTTAAAGTTTTCGTAAAGATATCGGCTAATTGATGTTTCGTATCAATAAACTCTAAAGATATGTCATGGTTATTCACATGATCTCTTATGAAATGATGCCTAATATCAATATGTTTAGTTCTAGAGTGTTGAATAGGATTTTTTGTTAAACATATTGCACTCGTGTTATCACATTTTATGAGAATATTTTTAAGGTGAATCTTATAATATTCTAATATATTTTTCATCCATACAACTTGTGCACAACATACACTCACCACTATGTATTTGGCTTCGGTTGTAGATAGTGCAACCGAGTTTTGTTTTTTGGAAGACCAAGAGACTAGTGCATAACCTAAGAATTGACATGTTTCAGATGTGCTTTTTCTATCTATTCTACATTTAGCAAAATCCGAATCAACGTAAGCAATTAGTTCAAAGTTTTCGAATTTTGGATACCATAATCCTAGATTAGTGGTTCCTTTAAGATATCTAAGAATTCTTTTAACAACTTTAAGATGAGATATCTTAGGATTAGATTGAAACCTAGTACAAAGTCCTATGCTAAACATGATGTCCGGTCTAGTTGTGGTGAGATATAGTAAGCTTCCTTTCATACCCCTATAACCTTTTTGATCAAAGCTTTCTCCACTTTCGTCAATGTCTAACTTAGTGGAGGTACTCATAGGAGTATTGTTTTGAATCTCGGATTTTGATGATGAAGTCAATTGTCATTTATTATCTAATCTATATGTTGAGATAAGTATGCAGGATTAACTACGATGAAAATAAGATATGCAACAGTAGTTGCGTCAGAGTCAAGACAATGATCACGTTGGAAGTTCGAGAGTTTGACGGAAGTTCGGACAGTCGTCGGAGGTTCTGCGGGAACAAATCCGAGAAGTCCATGAGCTTGCCAAAGAAGCTCGTCGGAACTCGCCAAGTGGATCGTCGCAAGTCTAGGAGTTTGCCGGAAGTCTGTAGGAGCATCACCGAGGGTTCATCGGTTGATCGACGGAAGTTCGCCGGAAGCTCGCCGGAAGAAGTAATTGACGCACCGGAGCAAGTTGCACTAAATATCTTAGGAAAAATCGTAGTTAGCACAATGATTAAGTTGGAAATGGGAGGTGATCCCATTAACTTAATCTTGGGGCAATTGGGCCCCTGAAAAAACCCAAATTGGGCCGAATGGATCAACCCATTCGGACCCTGATTTCTGCCAGGCGGTTCAACCGCCTCAGTCAGGCGGTGGCACCGCCTGAGCTCAGTCTTAGAGCTTTGGCAGGAGGTGCAACCGCCCCTGACAGAGGTGGCACCGCTTGGGCTCGATCTCTGAGCTCTGGCTGAGCGGTGCAACCGCCTCAGTCAGGAGGTGGCACTGCCTGAGCTCGGTCTTCGAGCTCTGGCAGGAGGTGCAACCGCCCCTGACAGGAGGTGGCACCGCCCAAAGGCTCAGTCTTCGAGCTCTGCCAGGTAGTGCAACCGCTCCAGTCAGGCGGTGCAACCGCTAGATCCCGAAATTCCAGGAATTGACAGTTTTGAGCTCCAAATTCAAATTGGGTTGGGGCCTATAAATACCCCACCCATTCAGCACTGAAAGGTAACATACACACACCGAAATCCTGATCTTATTATGTGATTCTTAGAGCTCAAAATTGTTGTAAAGGCCAAAAAGTTCTTCTCCCTCTTTTCTTCCAAGTTCTGATCTTTAAAGAGAGGAGAGAAAATTCTGTAAGGGTTGTCTCCTAAGCCTGTCAAAATGAGTGAAACTGTAAAAGGGTGGTTGGCCTTCGCCTATTGAAGGAAGGCCTCTAGTTGACGTCGGTGACCTCGTCAGTGGAGGAAGCCAAAAGTGGAGTAGGTCAAGATTGACCAAACCACTATAAATCTCGGTTTGCATTTACTTTGAGCATCTTATCCTTACTGCAAATCTCCTCAAAAGCTTACTGCTTTCTGCGCATATATGATCGAGTTTCAAGCTTTGCACTTTCCGAATCGACGTTTAGACGTAAATTAGTTTTATCGTACGATCATCATATTTCAGTTTGCGTTTACATTTTGATTTCTATCATAACTGCAAACTGCCTTTATATTCTTGCTTTTACTGTATCTCACTTAATCAAA